AAAAAAAAAAAAAAAGAATGTCAATGCAGCTCCCTGCTGACTTTAGCAAGTCCCTTCCATCTCTCAAACCCAAGGGGTGCCTAGAGAATCCTGAATTTTCTACCTTAGGGACTAAATAAAAGCATCAAGCCATGAGATTAGGAGGTTAAAACTCCTTGGGGCTTGGGCACCTATGGCTCACGCCTGTCATCCTAGCTCCTCAGGAGGCTGAGATCTGAGGATCATGGTTCAAAGCCAGCCCAAGCAGGAAAGTTCCTGAGACTCATAGTTCCAATTAAGCGCGCGCGCACACACAAACACACACACACACACACAGAGTCCTTTGTGAACTGGGACGTAGTAAGGGAGAGTCTTTAGCTGTGCAGTGGTGGGAGGTGAAGTCCAGTTACTTTCTCTGCCTTTGGCCTTGCCCTGATAGGCAGCCTGTCTGCCCAAGGGACTCAGGGACAGATAACAATGGGGTCTTTGTGCCCAACAGCCAATGGCAGGCGAGAGATGGGAGGAGGGAGTCTCTGCCCTAGAGAAAGATACAGTAGCACTGATTGAGTCAGTCTGTGTGCCTGTGCAGCCTGGACTCTGAGCCAGACACACAAGAGGTGTAACATTGTCAGCTGCCATCAATACAGCTGGACACTCCTTCCATGGAGCTGGAACTGGCTGAGCTGATATTAGCCTGGGCCTAGATGTGGGAGACCAAGGCTCAGGCCTAACTCAGGCCTGCAGCATGGGGCCCTGAGCTAGCCCAGGAGAATGTGGGAAGGGATAGGATCTCTCCTTTTTTACTCAAGGCTAGCACTCTCCCACTCGAGCCACAGCTCCACTCCTGCCTTTTTTCTAGTTATGTGATACTGAGGAATTGAACTCAGGGCTTCATGCATACTAGGCAAGCACTCTACCACTAAGCCACATTCCCAGCCCTGAGCTGGTTGGGTGGGTTCTAAGCTATAGGATCTTGGTCAGGTCATTTGTTTCTCTGACTTTTGTTTAAAGTTGGGGAGAGTCAGCCAGAGGCTGATGGCTCACACCTGTAATCCTAGCTACTCAGGAGGCTGAGATCTGAGGATCGTGGTTCAAAACCAGCCCAGGGCAGGAAAGTCCATGAGACTATTTCCAATAAACTGGAGGTGGCGCTGTGGCTCAAGTGGTAGAGCGCTTGCCTTGAGCTGAAGAGCTGAAGGACAGTGCCCAGGCCCAGAGTTCAAGCCCCATGACCAACAAAAAATAAAAAATACAAAAGCTGGGAGTGGAGGTGTGGCTTAAGTGGTCGAGCGCCAGCCTTGAGTGAAAAGTTAAGTGAGAGTATAAGGCCCTGAGTTCAAGCACAAGGAAGGAAGGAAGGAAGGGAATGAGGGAGTGAGGGAGGGACTGAATGTAGAGAGAGTTACTGTACCTACCTTTGATGAACAAAATAACGCCCTGCTTCAAGCTGTTAAAGTTCTAGCTGCAATGACGTGAACTGACCTGGCAAAGGAGACTTTTGTGGATTATGTTAAGGATTCTGAGATAATCCTAGATTATCCACAGCTCTAATGTAACCATGAGTCATCAGAAGATAGAAGCTTGAGGGTCAAAGTCCCCCCACCCCCCAAACACACACACACACACACACACACACACACACACAGAAGGAGCAAAGGCAAAAGCAGAAATTCTGAGTTCAAGCCCCAGTCCCAACACAAAATGGACAGAACATTATTACCTTTAAGTAGTTGTACAAAGGGGTTTCCATTTCACATATCAGTTTATGATCCATGTCACCCCTTCCTTCATTCTCTCCCACCTCCCTCCCCCCCCATCCATCCCCTCAAGTTATCTGACTCCATTTTCACAGGTGGATATGGAATAGTATGACCTTTTCCCTCTCCATTGCTCTGCCCTCCCTCCCTTAAGCCCTGTTCAACGAAACATACAACAAAAGTGTACAGTGAATGTTTGTTGTTGCTGTTTGGTTTTTGTTGGTCGTGGGGCTTGAACTCTGGACCTGGGTGCTGTCTTTGAGTTCTTCAGCTCAAGGCTAGCAGCACTCTACCACTTGAGCCACAGTGCTACTTCCGGTTTTTTGATGGTTAATTGGAGATAAGAACCTCAAAGACTTTCCTGCTCAGCTGGCTTTGAACCGAGATCCTCTTGAGAGGCTGGGATTACAGGCATGAGCCACCAGTACCTCGATGCATGTCTTTTTTTAAACCACAGTTCCCCAACCCCAAGGATGCTTCTGGT